TTTTGCAGGCATGGGTTTAGCACTATATTGTCTATCTGTCAGTATGGTCAAAGCAAACAGTGCAAAGTAAGTTGTAGAGACAAACTGAAGTTTAAGATTACAGAAAGGCAAGTTATCAAGCAGAAACAGAAAAGGATTTGTTAGATCATCAAGATCAACTGTGGAGGCTTTATAGGACAAGATCGTGGAAAGTAATGCTGATGGCTGCCAAAGTCAACTGAGCGTTTGCTGTGATGTTCTCCATTACTGTGGGAGGGGGATCACTGTTTTAAACAAATGGACACCAAGGTCTGAGAAGATCAACCCCTGTTAAATCTGCCACTCTGTGTCGGCACAACTGACCTCAAAGTAGGGGGTTGTATTCTGTTTTTTAAAGTATAAATAAATGGTGGTCTACATGCAATCTTGACAAATATTCTTTGGCTCTGGGAATCACACCCAAATTTTAGGAGCCAGACTCATTTTTCAGTGTTTCATATTTTAATGATGAATTTTTCTAACAATTGCTAACACAAAGAAGAATGTGCCATCAAACTGCAACCGACTCGTGGCAACCCCTTCCACAGGGTGTTCCAGGCATGAGATGGTTTACTATTTATTTCCTTCAATTGCCCTCCTCCATGTAGCAACTCCAGTCTTCTTATCCAAGGACTGACTGTGGCTAGCCCTGCTTAGCTCCCAAACCCTGACTGGCTTGGGCCAAACCAGGCTAATCAGGCTGCTTGCTACCACAAAATTTAATCTTAATATCTTCATCGTTTCTTGTAATTGTATTAAAGTTATGATGAAACTGTTGTAGCATATAAATAACTATATGGGCAACTGAGGTTGTCATCACCACACCAAGAGCTAACCCTGACTTATGTTGTCCCGTTTCCTCATAATTCCATTATTGCTTTTAAAAGCTCCATTTAATTGAATATTGTAGTCAATATAGAAAGCAACAGATTCAGAAATGAATAAACTAGCACCACTGAAAGTAAAATTAAATTTGCATAAAAACAAGCAATAACAAGAACTTCATAAATATTTATTTTTATGTCATACAACAAAATATTCTGATGCAAAATGATAAATAAGCTTTTGGTTGGATTGAGCCTTTTTGGTGGTCAATGGAGACCTCTTCCTTCCTTGTTCACTAGTGAAAAACTGTCTGGACCCAACCTTTTGTTCTTCCAATGAGAATTGCCAAGAGATGCTACAATAAAGTCACTGCTGAAAATATTAGGTGCCACAATTAAATTTCTAGAAGCCATGGTGGCCTGGGACACAGATGGAACCTACACTTGAGAATTAAGTTCCTTCCTTAAACTCTGATTGTGGCTACTGTGGGAGACACTGTATGCAGAATGCAAAAATACAACAATATTGTAAAGATATAAACACATAACCCATTTCACTAGCAAGCTGGTCGGTGTTCAGCATAGAAATTTGAATACATATATTTCAGGAAATTCCAGTTTGCCCAGAGCTATTCTCAACTTTCACTCCATCAAAAAACAAGTATTAATTTTAAAGTCAGATATATACTTCTGAGGTGGGCTGAATTTGATGTCCCTTTGATTTGAATGGGATTAACTTCCAACCAACTATTACTGCCCAAGTGTACCTCTTCATTTCAAATAATCAGTTGCCTATATAATTTTACAAAGCACAGACCAAGACTATGAAAAACTTAAATCCCTGTAAACAGAACAGTGATTCTGACATTCCTTTTCAGAAACATGTGAACAAAGGTGTCTTTTATTTTTTAAAAAAAAATCACATATTTTTGAGCAGATTTTCAAGCGATTGGAGACATAAATTTGAGAATGCTCTGACACTCAGGTATAAAGTGAATAGAATTTTTTTTCTTTGCCTGTTGTCTCTTACTACAATTTTTGCATAGATTCCGAGTCATGTTTGTAGTTTATAAATCTATTTGGGTTTGAATAGGGTTCTTTTGTATTAGCCCAGTTCATGGAATCTGAATAATAGACATGAAACAAGCGGCTCAGTTGGTCCTGCTGCATTCTGTATGTATTGTCAAGTTTCACACTGCTAATTTCCTAACAAGCTCAGTTTGTTTTCAAATGCCCTCAGGCTAGCTTTCTAAGTCCAAACATAAGCCATGCAAGTAAAAAAAAACCCACTATGCACCAGGAAATTTTAAATACACACTACAATCCCCACCCCAGGACAATCCCAACAGATTTAATGATCTTTGCTTCTAAATTATAACAAAACGAGATCCAGCTACTTGTGTGCATATTTTAAAATTCTCTGCCAGTTGTGTAATACATTTGTAATCAGGCTGTATAAAGTTTGCAAGAAAACACCTGACCAATTAATTATGAGTGCCTTCTTAGATCTCCTCTGTGAATTCTCATGGTGCACGCTTATCTTGCACATTGTGAGCATAAATACATTTCAATTAGTTTGCTTTGAAAAAAGAGGCCACCCATTATACTCCAAGAATTCCAACAGTTTTTCACCACATGTAGAACTGCCACATTTATGAGTAAAATGGCCCTACTGGCAGCTGACAAGCACTGCTTTGGAAGTTAGAAATAAAACATATAGACAGTTTACAATGATTTAATAAACACACCTCAGAAAGTTACAAATAGAACAGGTTACTTTCCAAATTTAGTATTTCTCCCACCAACCCCACCACCACCCCCTCCCCCAAACCCTGAACCTATAAAAGAATTAGCAAATGTTTCCATTAATTCAAATTACAACTAAGGGTGTGAAAGCATCCAGTGAAGATTAGGCTTTGGTATCACCTAAAGAATTCTTACAGGAAGTTCTAATGGTTTACATATGGAGCCTCCCCCACAAGCAAGATTTTCCCATTCATCACAATTCAACAGTAGATGAATTTGCTTCTATATAGGCAAATCTGTTGCCTCTACTCAGATGAATGGGACAACAATATAAAAGATCCAAGTATTCATCCATGCACATACAGATCCCTGGAATCACATCAGTGACCTGAAACTTACTTCCATATCCATGTTCAATAATTATAATGATCTTATAATATGTATATTGAAAGAAATTCCCGAGTAGGGACATTTGGGGTGAGAGTTTATTTACCTATGGAAAACCTATCAAACATTTACCTATAGGAGACACAGGGAATTTCTTGCATGGGTTCCACTGAAATGAATGGGTCTCATACAATAACACAGCTTCTATTTAAAAATGCACTTTTGTACAACTACCATTCATTTCAATGGAAAAATACTGAAAGGGCACCTTATGGATTTCTTCCCAGTGGAGCAGCCCTTATTACCTACAGCAGAAAGAATAAGCCAATCATCTTTTTAAAAGCATGGTTTTAATAGTAAAGTTCTATGTCATTAATCAAATTTTATTATGAACTACAGTGTGAAATTTTTGTCTCAATTATTGTAGGAACTTTGTGATCTCTGAAACTTCAAACAGTATGCTAAACAAATCAGACTACCTTTCTATAGCTATCACCAACCTTACTTTTTTTTTAAAAAGAAAGGGTATATTATTTAATACTTCTACATATCCTTAGCTCTTCAGGTAAGTCCCACTGAAATGAATTAGTTGCACTTCTCAGGAACATGGTGAGGATCACACTAGAAGTGTGTATACTGCTGAAATATGTACATATTAAATATCTTTGCTGCCAGCATTATTTTAAATGCATATTACAAAGACTACACCTTGAAATTATATTTGCTTGAGCACATAATATTCACAATAGTGAAATCTAGTTTGATTTTTTTTAAGTTTAACTTAAGCTTTATATCTTGTTTTTAAACATGTCTTTAAAGCTACATTAAGAAATAAGAGAGCACTGCAGTGAGAATGAGATTATTAAATACCTAGTTAAAAAGGCATATCACTTTGTTGATTGAAGACATGTTTTTAACATCAGTTGCAAAACAAAAGGAGAGATTTTAAAAGGGGCTTCCTCCATTTATATTCAAAAGACTGAAAAGAAAAGAGGTACAAAACCATAGTCAGACCCTAAATAACTTTTTATTATAAGTTGCTGTGGTAATTTAATTCAAACAAAAAGGACCTATTCCCACAGACCAAAGAACCCAATTGAAAAATTAATTATCACTATAAGAGCCATAATCACCTTTCAAAAAGTATCCCACTGTAGAACATATAGAAGGAGCAGAATGTACATCAGCACTAAAACTGACTTCTAGACTTGGAAAGTTCTTGTTTTCAACATAGTACTTATATATGAACAGTGCTGATACTACTGTGTAATTTGTCTAGAGAAACATGACTCCTGTATTTATTTATTTCCAAAACTGCATACAACTGTTTCTTAAAGCCAGAAGTACTTTTCTTGTAAAAATCCTATCAGCCTTGTATTACAAGTCTCATTTGTACACTTAAAACAAAGTTTTCACCTCCCAGGTTTAGCTTTAAAGCTTAACAAAACAAAACAAAAATGGGGACCAAAAAGACATTTATGTCATTGATGGATCTATTAGTCCTTATTCACTGTCAGTGTTCAAATTGTAATAATGATTCAAAAGTTCTCTTTTTTTAAAGGCCTCCATTAAACTAATCACTGAATACTGCAAGGCAGGCTGTGACAGTAATTTCTAATCACTTTTTAAAATTATACATTTTTAAAGCATTCTAATTTCTATCACTACATCATTAAGAACACATTCAGCAAAACATCCATCTCCACCATACAGTCTGGATATAAAACACATAAGGTTGTAGTATCTGTATTATTCAACATTAATTTCACAGTGCTGAAGCTTTATTTCTTCCAGAACACACAGTCCTGGATGCAAAACTGCTTAAAGGTACATACAAATAACTGTTTCTTTCCCAAAAGGTAGGAAAACTTCCCTCACATGTCCAGGATCCTCCTATAGCACTCCTGTGTGAAATATTATTAAAATGCACAAACCCCTGAGGTTCAAAATAAGTGAAATCCTTTGGCTAGTGCCTGATGAGTGCATGGTAATGTAAGCAAATACCCTGCTCTGAAGGAAGCTCACCTTTTGAGCTGCTTTTGAGGGACTCTTGTTTTTGCTCCCTTTGGGTCTTCCCCTTGGTCTTTTAGGAGATGGCTCTCCAGCGGGTTCCTACAGACAGACAGAGGGGAAAAAACACAACATGCTATTGTGGCAAAGATCCTAAGAACATGCTACAGCACTTAACATCCACAAAACCCATCTATGTCAATGAGTGACCCATATTTAACACTGAAAGAAAATAAAGATAATTCAAAATAACCGAGGGTGCCCATTAACTAAAATGGCCCTTCATTACACCCTAGGCCAAATTTTTACATCCTGACACTGGGGAAGCATCCTTCCAAGAAAATTGAACAAAGATGATTTTTTTTTTGGTAATTCTGTTTATTCAGGACTTAGTTGAAATGCATCCATGTACTTTGCATTTGTAATCATATAAGAGAGTAAACAAAAATACTTTGATAAAGTAAAAAGTGAGTATCCCCCATGTTACAAAGGGAATTTGCCATGGCCTGTTGTTTTCATTTTACTTCCATTTTGTCTAACCTAATGGAATTTTATATATCTTGCGTGGGTGGGGAGGGTGTAGTCTATAGCATATCCTGGCAAGAGGAAAACAATGTAAAAGGTGTCTGGGATTCAAACTCCTTCAACTGTACAAGGGCAGCAATTGTTTTAGCTACCCTACCATGCCTTCTCTGTTTGATAGTAAATAAAAGAGTCATTTAAATGGATATGAGTAAGTTTTCAGATTTCAAGTATTTATTCAGTGAATCATATGCACTAAAGGGGGGGGGGGATTCCACATCCAGTTCCAAAACTGAACATTTCATTTGAATTACAGGATGTGGAAGGACTAATTAAATGCTGTTTGTTAACTTAAACGAGTTTTAAAATTCTCGAGATTGGTAAACTCTTTTGGGGTGGACAGGAAACTTAATTTACACAATAACTTTACAACAGCAACAATATTGTATACTGATGGGGGGGACACGGTTTCTACGCAGTCCCTTGAAACTGTAAACACTCCATTGTCGAATCAAACAGGGCAAAACCCCCCACCGCGTTTCTTTTTTGCAAAAACAAGCTGGTACAGGCGGAGCTGGGAAAGATTATTTGAAGAAAGAAGTGCTGTGATCGCGATAGCTCAACAAAGGTACGCAGCAGAGAGGCGGGAGACTTCAAAACTCTAGTTTCCCAAAGGTATTTGATTGCACTTCGGCTGCGAAAGGGGTGGGGGTGGGGGTGGGGGGTGAGAACTCAGTTGGTGCTCACCCTCCCCTCGACCTAAGCATAAGGCGACCCTTTCAGAGGTGTTTTGCATTTCGGGATCCAGATCGCTTTGCTGATCATCTGATTTGCTCTGAAGGAAGTGGTTTGACGCTAATGAATGAAGCAAACTTTTTTTCTAAGCCCGCGGAAGTCTGTTTTAAATGCATTTAGTAGGCAATCTCCACTACCGATCGCTACTTCCGAGGAAATGGAAATCACTGTCGAAAAAATGCAAAAAGCCCTCCAACCAGTCTACAGCTTACCTAAGCAGGCTCTGCCGTGCTGCAATTGCAAACTTAATTGGTTGCATCCGCAGACAAGAAAAAATCGCTCTGGGGGAGGAGAGAAAACCCCTGGTACCCCCGCTGGCCTATTTACTTTGAAAAAGTACAAAGCACTTCTGGATCTCATATTACCATGTGAAGCGAAAGAGCCAGGATTCCATCGGACCTAATGGCCAGCAAGGAAACACCAGGAAGTACCCTGGGTTTCAGGGAAATGCGAGGGGGAGGGGGCCGGGGAAGGGACTGACCTCGCTCGCAGCCCCCAAACGCAGAGTCCCAAGAATCGTCCTCCCTCCAAAGACTAGAGCGAGTTTCCAGAGACAGGGGCTAGCTAGCCAGTTATATAAGATGCACTGCAGGCGTGCAGCCCACAATGGAGAGCCCCTGGTACGCGCAAATGGGGCTGAATTGGGTTTTGGGGGGGGGGGGAAACCGAAACGGGGG